ACTGCAAACTCTGCCTCCCAGGTTCAAGTGATTCTCCTGCCTCAGCCTCCCAAGTAGCTGGAACTACAGGTGTGTGCCACCAAGCCCAGAACATTTTTGTATTTTTAGTAGAAACGGGGTTTCACCATGTTTTACAGGCTGGTCTTGAACTCTTGACCTCAAGTGATCTGCCTGCCTCAGCCTCCCAAAGTGCTGGGATTGCAGGCGAGAGCCACCGTGCCTGACCTATATTGACTGTTAAAAGGACAGTGGAGAAAAGTACTACTGATGGAATAAGGTTAACCCTTCCTGCCAAGACTTACAGGATTGTTTTAAAACTAGATGCAATCCTGTTTTTGAAATTACAAGTCACCTAGTAGGTGCAGGAAATATTGGAAGATTTCAAGGCCATGTTGGCATTCCCAGAAACAATTCCAAGAAATGAAGAGAATTACTATCATAAACTATAGTGGTTGCTTTTAACTGAGCACCATAATGGTGATGTGAGAGCCATGACCCACTGTAGGTTAGTTTATTATTCCATAACAAAATACTATAGACTGTGTGATTAAACAGTAGAAATGTATTACTCACATTACTGGAGACTAAAAAAATCCAAGATCAAGATTTTTGGCTGGTTTGAATTCTTCTGTGGGCTCTCTTTGGTTTGCAAATGGCCACCTTCTCACTGAATTCTTACATGTTGTCCCTTGTTCTGTGTGTCTGTATCCTAAGCGCCTCTTCATGTGAAGACACCAGTCATATTGAATAAGATGCTAACCATAAAACCTAATTTTCCCTAAATTGCAACTTCAAAGGTTCTATCTCCAAATACAGTGACTTTGTATGTATGCATTTGGAGGAAGGGGTATAATTCAGCCCATAATACCCTGCCAACTAAAATCAGAATTTTTATGCACAAAAATAAACTTGTTGTGTTAAACCATTTAAATTTCGGGAATGTTAAAAATTCCATTAGCTCACTGTTACTTTATCTGACTACTACACTGCTCCTCTTCCTTTTATAATGCTTATTTTAATTCTTTTCCTTCAAATAAATACTGCATATATTATTGTTGCAAAAGATGATGAAAATACATAGAAATCACAATTCTCCCCTTGAAAAGTTCCTCCAACATATTGACCTCGACTCAGAACTTTCCACAATGTGGTATATAAATTTTAAAAGCTAATTTCAAGTTTTTAAAAGATATGGTAATATATATGTGTGTGTATGTGTGTATATATATATATATATATATATATATACCCACAAGCATATATATGATTTATATTTATATGTGTGTGTATAAATATAACTAAACATGAGTAAAATATACATACAAATATGCCACTCGCCTTTGCCACTATCGTAGGTCCAATTGCATTCTCCTAAAATTCTACCTTGAAATCAAAATGTTGCCTTGTTTGGAGATAGGATTATTTCAGAGGCAATCAAGTTAAAATGATGTTATTGATGCTGGCCCTAATCGAACATTATGGGAGTCATTTTAAAAGGGGGGAATTTGGACATAGAGATAGTAGAAGGATGACGATGTGAGCATACATGAAGACAGCCATGTACAAAGCAAGGAAAGAGGCCTGGAATGCATCTTTTAATCACAGCCCTCAGAAGGAATCAACCTTCTGTATACCTTGCTTTTTGACTACCAGACTCCACAATTGTGAGACAACATATTTTTGTTGTTTATGTCATCCAGGTTGTGGTACATTGCTGTGGCACCCCTAACATGTCAATATAATCACTTATTGAAATGGAATCAAGAGCTTTCCATGACAGCACAAATGTTAATAGATCTGTCTTACTTTTGGGATTATTTCCTAGAATTCCAATTTATGTCTGTGCAATAATGAATTGAACAAATCTCCTCTTGATGAACAAATATTTGTTTATCTTTTGTGGCTATAATTAATATAAATACAATCAACATCTCTGAGCATAAATTCTTGAACAAGTGCTTATAATTACTTATAGGGAATGCATTTTAATGAGGAAACTAAGTCAGTATGAATATTTTATATTTTTTGAATGTTACTGACTTTTTTCCCTAAAATATTTCACCAATTAATTATCTCACATTAACAGAGGAAATTATTATTATTTAATAATAATTATTATTATTCGCCATATTTGTCTATGGGGAAATGATTCATTTATTTACAAACATATTTTATCAGAGTTTTACATGTTGGTCAAACTTATGGGGACAAACCCTAGGTGACTTTGGGTTTGGTGCCGGCTCTTAGATGCAACACCAAAATGTGGTTAAACTTATGAGTGCAAACCCTAGGTAACCTTAATTTTGATGATGACTTTTTCAGATGCAACACTGAAAGCACCAGCTATCTAAGAAAAAAGAGATAAATCGGACTTTGTTAAAACGAAAAACTTCAACTCTGAAAAGTCACTGTTAAGATCCTGAAAAGACAATCCAGAGACTGGAATAAATGTTTTGTGAAACACGTATCTGATAAAAGATATACCTTTAAATATGTTCAGAACTCTGAAAATCCAACCATAAGAAGACAACCCAATTTCAGGTGGATGAAAACCATAAACAGGTACACAACCAATGAATATATAGGAATTTAAAATAAGCATATAAAACTGTTCAATGTCATATGTCATTTGAGAATTGCGAACTAAAACAACTAGGAGATAGCACTACACACCCTGGAGAACGGCTGACATTCAAAACACCGAACCATCAAATATTGACCCATATGTTGAGCAACAGGAACTTTCAGTCATTGTTAGTAGGATAGACCTGGAGGAATCATAAAAGCGTAAGGCTAAGTGAAAGAATAAAATCTTCAAAGGCTACATTACGTATGATTCCAATCATACAATATTCTGGAACAGGTAACTATGAATACACTAAAAATATCTGGTTTCCAGAGGCTGAAGGGTTAGGTTTGAGGCAAAGGGAATTGATAGGTGAAGCACACAGGAGATTTAGGATGGTGAAACAATTCTGTGTGATACTGTAATGATGAATGCTCACCATTACACACTTATCAAAACCCATAGCATCCCCAACGTTGAGTGAGTTCTGATGTAAACTGTGAACTTTACCTAATAATGAGGTATAAATACAGGCCCATCAGTTGTTGCAAACAGGCCGTAATAATACAAAATATAAATACTAGGAGACACTGTGTGTGTGTGCGTCGGGCAGGGCAGGAATTGGGGGTGGCATATATATGTGGGAACTCTATAACTTTGATGAAATAAGTTTTCTCTTTGTATTTTGGGATTAGCAATGCTCTAAAAATGATGTCTATTAATTTTTTAAAGGATGCAAATGATTTGAACAGACACTTTACTGAAAAGAATATACCAATCAGCAAAAGGCATATAAAAAATGACCAACGTCATCTGTCATTAGGAAGATGCAAACAAAAACCAAATGAGATTCAAATACAGGCTTATTAGAAAGGCTAACATCTGAAAATATAAAATACTAAATGTATGAGAGGATATGGAACAAGAGGAATTCTCATTCCTTGATAGTTGAACTGAAAAATGGTATAGCCACACTTTGAAATCCGTATTTTGTGAACCTACTCATATGACAAATTGTGAAAGTTAAAATCATGTGAACTGAAAACAGTATAGTTGCCAGAGTCTTTGGAGAAGTGCCTTGATCGACTTCAAAGGAGATGCGCAGGGGACTTTAAGGGTGATAGAAGTGGTTGGTATAATACTTGGTTGGTAGATATGGGACTCCATGCATTTGCCAAAATACATGTAACTTCACATAATAGCTAAATCTGATGAGTGTATTTTAAAAAATTAATAATGTATTGGTTTTTAAAAGGATCACTCACAGGCTGCTGAAAAGACAATGGATTTTTCTGGGACAAGGGTAGGAAAAGAAGCAAAACTAAGGAAGCCGTTGACATACGTTAGGCGAGAGATTATATTAATTTCACACACAGCAGTACTTAAAGTGGTAGGTTTTGGAATGGATTTTAGCGGATGACAGAAGAAGTGTTGCTGTCTGGACAGGACAAGTGGGGAGTGCAGGCCCTGTCAGGAATAATATGCTAATGAATACTGAGGGGCCTTTCCACCCCATTTCAGACAGAGGGCAGTGGAGCCCTGCCTGGGGCCTGGGAGGCCCTATCCCACGGTGGTTGAATGTGTCGCTACCTCTCTTGCACCTCGCAGGTCTCAGGGATGGGAGGGGCTAATTCGGAGGTGAAAGACTCAGATGCACAGAGTCAGTGAGTCCAGGCAGTTTCAAGAGTCCAGGCACAGCCTCTGAGGAAGGCTGGAAGGGAACAACCAAGGATGGTAGTGGCCCTTCCCTGTCCCTGTGCCTGCTGCCAGCTCTGGCGGAGCCCATCAGGGTCCCCAGATGTACAGCTTTCTGACTTCCATTTTGGGAGTCAGCTGGAGGGAAAGATTTCTCAGAGGGGGGCAGTTTCACTTATGCAGAGAGAGGAGCCCCAGGACTGGCCAACTAACAAGATGAGAACTCTGTGGAAGGACAGTGACCTCCCAACATGGAGGGGAGGCCCAAGCGTCGCCCAGCCACTCCCTGCTGACACCCATAGACAAAAGACTTGGAGAGGTAAAAACGGAAATGTGGGCAGGGAGAGGTGGGTGAAGGGTGAGGAAGTTAACAGAAATAGGTGGGAGGCAGTGGGGAGGTAGGCAGGAAAGGGTGGAAGAGGGCAGGTTGGTGAGCACGAAGAGGTCGGAGTAACTTGGGAGGTGGATAGGAAGTGGTGGGAAGGAATGGAAAGGTGGGCAATAAATAGTGAAAGGGGGTGTAAGGTGAACAGGAAAGGTTAGGAAGGGGCGGGGAGGTGGATATTAAGGGGAGAGAGGGGTCAGGGCGGACAGAATGGGGTGGGAGAAGACAGCGAGGAGGGCAGAAAGGGATGAGAGGGGTCAGGGAAGAGGGAGGAATCTGTGAAAGAGGACCGGGAGCTGGATGGAAAGGGGTTGGAGGGGGTTAGGGAAGCCGGCATAAAGGAGTGACAGGGGGGCGCTGAGGAGGGCAGGAAGAAGTGGAGTAGGAGTTGGGGAAAGTGGTCAGGAAAAGGTGGAAGGAGGCAGAGAGGTGGCGGGGTGGTTCCTCCGCAGAGAGGAGGCCCCGCCCCACGCTGCCCCTGCCGTCAGCGCTGGTCAACCCCCGCAAGGTTCCCGGATGTGCTTGCCGGCCTCCATCTTGTGAGTCCGAAGGACCTGCGGCGTTTTGTGAAAACTCTGGAGTCAGGTCAGCAGAGGGAAGTCAGAAATGGGCGGTCCTCAAGGTAAGGGACGGGGAGGCCTTCGTCTGAGGGTCCCATGGCAAGTCAGCAGAGGCAGCTGCCTCCGGTAGGCAGAGACAAGAGTCCCAGGCCCTGCTGGGGATAAGAGGGAGGACTGAAGTGTCACATGTGCTTCAGAGCAGATGTGAGGCTGCCCCGACTGCCCCGTGGTAGAGTATGGGACGTGGCTGCCTCCTCACTACCTCCCTCTGCTCTCAGGGATGTGGAGGTTGCTCTGAGGTTTTGCCTCAGGCCGGCAGAGTGGTGGGGCCTGACCCTCTCTGAGAAGCGGTGAGAATGCTAATTAAATTCTCAGGGGACCATGCAGTCCGGAGCTGTGGGGCTCTCGGAGTCTGGCCAGCCCCGGCTGTCAGCCCTGGGAGGCCCAAGCCTCTGCTTGCAGTCTTTAGCCTGAGGTGCTCCTTCACTTCCTCTTGCAGGCGCTCCAGGAACCAGGTGGTGACGAACTGGGTCTCAGTTGCACTTGCTAAAGCCAGAACAGCAGAGGAGGCCCAGGCAGTGCCAGGAGTCAAGGTGAGTGCACACCCTGATGGTGTACCAAGGGTCCTACCCCCACAAACAGAGCAGACCCGGCAGCACCCAGTCCTAACCACCTACTGTCAGTCCCGAAGCCTGGGGTTCTGCCTACCAGCTGTGCCCCGAGGTGCTTCCTCACATCCTCTTACAGGTTCCCAGGGAACAACCCCCCTAGGAAGACAGGAGACCTGTCAGGCCCTAGAGGACCACTTTAAGAGAAGGAGAGATGTAAGGCCGCCTTTGTCAGACCAATTATGTGTGCCTCTCTCAGCCGAGGTCACTCACACTGTCACTCTCTCCCTCAGGCGTGCTGGATCCCATCATCTCCGTTCCTGCTCACACGTTTACCTGCTGCTCCTGAACAACAGGCCTTATGCCTCTCTTTCCAAACCTTTCACACCTCGGCTTTGAGCAAGACTTACAGAACCCGACTGTGATAGAGGACTTGGTAGAGGCACAGGATTCCATAGATGAGGAAGAGGAGGATGCCTCCTCCTCTTCCTCTTTCCACTTTTTATTCCCCTCCTCTTCTTCGTCCTCATCCTCACTCTGTACTCTATTTCTGAGTGCTTCAGAAGATGAGGAGATGCCTGTTGCTGGGATACCACCTCTTCCCCAGAGTCCTCCCGAGATTCCTCCCCAAGGTTCTCCTGAGATGTCTCCCCAGGGTGTTCCACAGAGTTCTCCCCAGAGTCATCTGCAGAATCATCCCCCGAGTCCTCTGCAGAATCCTCCCCAGAGTTCTCTGAACTCCTGCTCCTCCCCTTTCTTGTGGACCCCATTGGAGGAGGAGTCTAGCAGTGAAGAAGAGCAGGAAACACCTGTATGGCAGGCTTTCCCAGATAGTCAGTCCTTGAGCAGGTATGTGCTGGATGAAAAAGTGACTGAGTTGGTGCAGTTTTTTCTCCTCAAGTATCAAAAAAAGGAGCCTGTCACAAAGGCAGAGATGCTGAGTATTGTCACCGAGGAATATAAGGACTATTTTCCTATGATCTTTGGGAAAGCCCATCAGTTCATAGAGCTAATTTTTGGCATTTCCCTGACTGATATGGACCCTGAGAACCACTGCTATTTCTTTGAAGACACATTAGACCTCACCTGTGAGGGAAGCCTGCTTGATGACCAGGGCATGCCCCAGAACTGTCTCCTGATTCTTATTCTCAGTACGATCTTCATAAAGGGCAACTGTGTCCCCGAGGAGGCCATCTGGGAAGTGTTGAGTGCAATAGGGGTGTATCCTGGGAGGGAGCACTTTATATATGGGGAGCCGAGAGAGCTCCTCACTAAAGATTGGGTGCAGAGAAAGTACCTGGAGTACCGGGAGGTGCCCAACAGTGCTCCTCCACATTACGAATTCTTGTGGGGTACAAGAGCCCATTCAGAAGTCAGCAAGAGGAAAGTCCTAGAGTTTTTGGACAAGCTATCTGCTACCATCCCTAATTCCTTTCCGTCCTGGTACACGGATGCTTTGAAAGATGTGGAAGGCAGAGCCCAGGCCATGACTGACACCGCAGATGATAGTACTGCCATGGCCAGTGCAAGCCCCAGTGTCATGTCCTCCAACTTCTGTCCTGAGTGAAGTCTGAGGCACAGTCTTCCCTGTGTTTGAAGAGGGCAGTCGAGGTTCTAGGCAGTGGAGGGCCAGAGTGGAGCCAGAGGGACCACAGTGTTTTTTGTGTTCTTGTTTCATATGAGTGACTTAGAGTTTAACAGTTTTTGTGTGTGCGGGGGGGTGTATTTTACAAATGCTTCTCCTTCCAATAAAGGAGTTGGTCTTTGACTCAAATTCTAGCATCTTTGAGTTGCAATCTTAGTTTATGATTATTATTTCCACTTGTGTTGCTGTTTGTCTGGTTTAAGAGAAAGAGTGATATTTCATAAGGAAAAAAGGGAAAACCTGTCTTATTCTGTGAACCGAAACAGTATATTGTGATGTTCGGTAAGAATTTTCTTTAAAACGTGAAATAACTCTGCAGTTAACTGGTGGAACAAAATAAAGTATGGTTGATATATTCGCATGACCTTATCCTGTTACTGTGTTGCGCTTCCAAATTAAAGATTCATACCTTGAATTGCTTGGCTTATTCAAGAAAGCAGCAGAAATTCAATCTTAATAAATAAAAGCCTCAGTGGCTATTTGCTAAACATTCTTTGAGCATTTACTTGTGGATGGTGCTCTTAGTAGTGGGGACACTATGAAAAGCGAGACTTATCTCTACCCATAAAATGGTAGAGTCTAGGAGAGAAGCCATGTCAGGAAGGTGGTAAGATATTCCCTATAATCTAAGGAACATCTTAAAAATACTGGGGAAGTGGGACTCCGGATGTGAACCTTCAAATGAGTTAAGGCAGTTTTGAGCTTGGGGAAACTGCAGTTGCTTCTGTGGTAGCTGATTGTCATGAAGCTGGGTGGTGGCAGGGGCCAGACTCTTAGAAGGTGAGAGAAAAGCCTGGAATGGAAAGCTACTTGAGCAGTTCCCTCTGGGTGAAGGATGAGGCAGAGAGGAGTCCCCACATGGGGAAGTAATGGGAGGTGTCCTGCAGCTCTCTAACTGGTGAGCTGTAACACAGTGCAAGAACTCGGTGATTGATACCCATCATCTGCAAGGATTTCCTGAGAAATAGGATGATAATCCCTTGCAGTGTTGCTCAGAAGCCCCTAGGCTGGCACTTATTTGCCTGGCCTGGGAGAGCCAGCTCCCACTCCATTGAAAGACATTTAATTAGGGTATTTTGAATGTAATGTGAGCAACCTGTAAGCAAGGACTAGATTGTTAGTGAAGGATAAATAAAAATAGTGGTTTGGACGGATGAGCAGTGGGGAAGGTGTGAAGGAGTTGGTCTGTGACTCAAATTCTAGCATCTTTGAGTTGCATTCCAGCTGAAGATGCCTTCCCTCTTGCAAATTATACAGTATACCCTTTCAGAAAAAAATGCACTGAGTTTTATTTATGAAATCAAAGTTTTGGTTAAGTTGGGTTTCCAAGACGCATTCACCTACATATTCTCTGAGATGTTTTGAATAACAAAACTAAGAGCTGCATTTTGCCCAAAAGACAGTGGCAACCTTTGGTGTTATAATCATTGATAACAACTGCGATTTATTACAATTCCAATATATGCCAGGCACTGTGGCAGGCATTTTACTCACATTTACATGCATTCCTGCAATTCTACAAGACAGGGCTTATCAAACCCATTTTACAGATGAAGAACCCAAGGCTCATGATGCGTGATAAATTCCCAAGATTACGTGGCTGGACTGTGGCAAAGTTGCGACTTGAGCCCTGATCTGAATTCATTTAGGCCCACACTGTCCCCACCTAGCTTGAGGAAGGCCGTAGCCTGTTAATTCTTTTCACACTTCTTTTTTTCTTGAGACAGAGTCTCCCTTTGTCGCAAGGCGCCAGGCTGGAGTGCAGTGGTGTGAGCTCAGCTCACCGCAACCTCCCGCCTCCCGGGTTCAAGCAATGCTCCTGCCTCAGCCTCCCAAGTAGCTGGGACTACAGGTGCACACCACCACCCCCAGCTAATTTTTTTTTTTTTTTAAGTAGAGACGGGGTTTCACTATGTTGGCCAGGTTAATCTCTATCTCTTGACCTCGTGATCCACCCACCTCGGCCTCTGGGGTTTCACCACATTGGTCAGGATGGTCTCGATCTCTTGACCTCGTGATCCACCCGCCTCGGCCTCCCAAACTGCTGGGATTACAGGCATGAGCCACGTGCCTGGCCCTTTTCACACTTCTTACTGTCTCTCAGGTGACATAAATTTGAACTATGTGGCTAAGATATTAAGTTAGGCCTAAAGATGGAAGATAAAAATGGGAATAAAGTATAATTCAGGGAATATCATTGGCTTTCTATATCTGAAGTCCTCCTGTTCTGAGCCCTAGGTTTCTTGAGAGCTGGCTGTTCAGGTGCTGGCAGATTTGTCCATCCCCAGCATTTTTCAGATTACAGCCCCCCTCCGTTTCATCTTCCCTTTGTGCTTTCTTGTTTAGTCCTAGAGTTTTTTTTTTAATCTTTCATTACATTTTAATTAAAGCCCAGAAAGGCAGTACAATTTGAGTGCCTCTGTTACAGTGTTTGAAGCTATGTAATAGGTGCTTTTGTTCAACTTCCAGAAAGAATGCATCTCCCTTTATTAGTCCTCAAGTTTTTAGCCAAGCTATCCAGTACCATCCCTAGTTCCTTTCCATTCTGGTACATGGATGCTTTGAAAGATGTGGAAGACAGAGCCCAGGCCATAATTGACACCACAGATGATGCTACTGCCATCCCAGTGCAAGCTCCAGTGTTATGTCCTCCAACTTCTGTCCTGAGTGAAGTCTGAGGCAGATTCCCCCTCTGTGTTTGAAGAGGGCAGTCGAGGTTCTATGCAGCGGAGGGCCAGAGTGGAGCTGGAGGGACTACAGTCTTCTTTGTGTTCCTGTTTCATATGAGTGACTTAGAGTTTAACGGCTTTGGATGGGGTTGGGGGGAGTTTTTACATGCTTCTCCTTTTGATTGGCTTAATTCACTTCAGAATCTTAGTTTATGAATATTCATCACACATATACTGCTGTTTATCTGGTTTAAGAGTAAGAATTTGATAATTTGTAAGGAAAAAATGAAACCCTTCTGTCTAATGATCTGAAAGAGTGCAATGTGGTGTTGGGATTGGAATTTCCTTTAAAATGTGAAAGGACTCATCATTTAAATAGTGGAACAAAATAAGGAATTGTTAATTTTTGACTTTCCTCATCCCCTTCATTCTGTTGTTCTTGAAAATTAAAGATATATATTTGGGTTTGTTTGGCTTATTAAAGAATCAACAGAATTTAAATCTGAATAAATAAGAGCATCACCAACTCCTTTACCTGCTGAACATTATTTCAGCATTTCCTTGTGGAAGGCTCTGTTAGTAGTGGGGATATTAACAAAACAAGGTTTATTCCTACCCATAACATGGTAAAGTCTAGGTGCAGAAACCATATCAGGAAGGGTAAGATTTTCTCTACAATCTAAAGAATGAGTTAAAACAGTGGGGAGGTGAGACTCCTCTTGGAGCCTTCAAGTATGAAGGCCCTAAACTAAGGCAGTTTTGGGCTTCAGGAAACTGCAGGTGCTTCTGTGGGAGCTGATTGTTCAGAATCTGGGCGCGGTGGCTCACGCCTGTAATCCCAGCACTTTGGGAGGCCGAGGCGGGTGAATCACGAGGTCAAGAGATCGAGACCATCCTGGTCAACATGGTGAAACCCCGTCTCTACTAAAAATACAAAACAATTAGCTGGGCATAGTGGTGCGTGCCTGTAATCCCAGCTACTCGGGAGGCTGAGGCAGGAGAATTGCCTGAACCCAGGAGGCGGAGGTAGCGGTGAGCCAAGATCGCGCCATTGCACTCCAGCCTGGGTAACAAGAGCGAAACTCCGTCTCAAAAAAAAAAAAAGAATCTGGGTGGTGGCAGGGCTCAGACTCTCTGAAGGTGAGAGAAAAGCCTGGAATGGAAAATTGCTCTGAGCAGGTCCCTCTGGGTGAAGGATGAGGCAGAGAGGAGTCTCCACATGGGGAAGTAACAGAAGGTGTCTTGCAGCTCTTGTACTGGTGCACTTGAACACAGTGCAAGGACTAGGTGATTGGTCCCCATCATCTGCAAGGGTTTCCTGAGAAACATGGTGATAATTCCTTGAAGTGGTGCCCAGAAGCCTCTAGGCTGGAACTCATTTGCCTGGCCCGGGAGAGCCAGAGCCCATTCCATTGACGGGACTTTTAATTGGGTTATGTTGAATGTAATATGGGAACTGTAAACAAGGGCTAGGTTTTTAGTGAAGCATAAATAGAAATCGTGGTTTGGATGGATGAGCAATGGGGAAGGTGAAAAGGAGTTTGTCCTTCACTCAAAATCTGTGATCTTTCAGTTGCATTCCAGCTACAAAAGTCTTACCTTACCCAAAGTATACAATATATCCTTTCGGAAACACAATGTACTGAGTTTTATTTAGGAAGCTGAATTATTGGTTGAGTACTTATTCTGTGATGTATTCAGCTATATATTTTCCCAGATTTTTGAATCATAAAAATAAGAGCTGAATTTTTAAGTAAAGGTAGCAGCAGCCTCTGGGGTTATAATCGTATTTGATTACAACTGCCATTCATTACGATCCAAAGTATGTCAGACACTGTGCCACATGCTTTACTCACGTTATATATCTTCCAGCACTTCTACAAGACAGGACTTACCAAGCCTATTTTACATAGGGGAACCTGAGGCTCACAGTGTTTGATAATTTCCCCAAGATTGCATGGCTAGAATGTGGCAGGGCTGGTACTTGAACCCTGGTATGAATTCATCTAGGTCCATCCTGTTCCCACTGCTCCCCAGCCTGAGGGAGGCCTTCTGCCTCTTACGTCAGTTCTCTTCACTATTCTTAATATCTTTGAGGTGACCTAAAGATAGCCACATGGCTAAGATATTAGGTTCAGCCTCAAGAAGGAAGGTGACAATAAAAACGAAATACAATTCAGGAATTGTTGTGGCCTTTCTTTACTTAAATTCCTCCTGTCATGAACCCTAGATTTCCTCAGAGCTGCCTCTCTCCAGGGGTCAGCAGTTTTGTTCAGTCCCAGCTCTTTCCCACATTATAGGACCTTCCTTTTGACCTTCTCTGCATGCTCTCTTACCTAAATCTGGAACGTGGCCTGCTGATCAGCTTGTCACTAAGGTTTCTTCTTGTGAAGACTGGGCCCAGCTCCCAGGGTAGTAGCCTGGAGTCAACTGCCCTTCCCCTGACAGAAGCCATTCTACTCCCTGCAGAAGTTCCCTGACTGTTTAATCCCTCACCCTGGATCCTCTATGATAACAACAGCTTTTTGATGTAAATGTGCATTTTGGACAGGGATGTTTCAGTACCTACCATGGGCATCTTCAACACACCCTCAAAGCATAGCCACGTAAGCTGGTGAGTAGAATCTTATTTGCCACATAATATACTGGTTTTAGGGATGTAATGCTGAAGTCAGAAACAGAGTTTTTGAAATCATCGTGCTATTTGATATTAGGAGTAGGACTGTAAAAAGATTTATGTGAAACAGGC